TGTGTGTGTGTGTGTGTGTGTGTGTGTGTGTGTGTGTGTGTGTGTAGGAGGTGAGCGATCTGGCTGAGCTGAGGGAGACTCTTCAGAAGGGTCAAACGCTCCTGAAAGAAAAAGAGGAGAAACTCAACCAGCTCGAAACATCACTGACTGAAGAGGTACAACACACACACACACTATACACCAGGGTTCCTCAATTAGTTTTCGCCAAAGGCCGAATTCTGCCAACAATACCAAGCCAAGGGCCACTGACCTATATATATATATATATATATAATGGTTGTTATTAATAGTGAATAAATCTAAAGCTTTTGAGAGGGGGGTGCCCTTTTTCAGTTTCAGCACATGCCCCTCAAAAGGTCTGTGCATGGCCCTGCCTTTATGTCAGTGTACAGGATGTACTTATATATCCAACTTTTAATATATAACTGATAATCTAGTTCACCAGTAACCAACCATTTTTATCAACTGTTCCTGCTCATCTCCAGACTTGATCTCTTCTCTCCACTTTCCCTAATTGCAGATTCAATTAGTAGATTTGTCAGTATTAATATTTTTATACTTAGATTTTTTTTGGGGGGGGATCAAACTGTAACACCGTGTGTCTCAATCAGACACGACGCGATAAAAAGTATCTTTTCCTTGTAGTCTGTGTCCTAACCACCCGCGACAGCGAAACGTGACGATAAGCTACATGGGGTTCTATTTTAGGAACGGTTTTTATTTTCTGCGACGTCGCGGCAGGAACAAAATACAAAATATGACAGTGATAATCTCAGGTAATGATTATGTGCTTTATTCAATGTTAAAAGTGTCTAATGTGAGTTTGAATAGTATTTTGCGTTATCTTTATAGCCATAGTGAAAGCAACAATATATAGTTTGCCTCAGATCTTGAAAATAAATTAAAGCAAACTTGTACGTTAAAACTGTGAACTCACTGCGAACCAACACGTGTACTCCATAACAAAGATATCACTCACTCACACTCACACACTCACACTCACTCACTCACTCACTCACTCACTCACTCACACAGCTCGCTCGCTTGCTCACTCACACTCACTCACTCACACTCACTCACACACACTCACTCACTCACTC